ATGGCCCTCCCATGATCTATTATTTCAGCAGGGGTTGCAAAATTGGGATAGGGAAATGCTATCGTTGCCTTTTGATTTATTAGCTGAAATGCTTTTTTAGAAAAGAGTGTTCCCTTTATTGACTTTTTGGCCAACTGAACATTGAGTTCATTTAGTTTGAAAAGCCGAGCGCCGGCCCCATTCTTTCTGATTGCTTACCAATTTGCAGTATAATGAATCGGTTCCTTAGTCGCCTCTAAGGTAACAAATGAGTCGCGGCTGGACGACGGGTGTACGTCCGGCTTTGTTTTGCTTTTTGTAATATTATTATGCACGTACGGATTTTTAACACATCTGATGTGCTTCTGTCCACTGCCATTATTATTCTTGTAGATGCCACATTGACCCTCCTTCATGTCCATTCCTCAGTCCTTGGACATGGCCCCAGGAGTCTGTGACGGCTTCTTTGCTGTCTGGTATGAGCAGATGTTCCAAGCTATAGAAATCTCCTTCATCGTGCCCAGGATCAGCCCTTTCTTCACAACAATTTAATTCCTTTTTTTTTTTTTTGGTGGGGGGGGGTGGTACCAGGGAGTGAACTCAGGGGCACTTGACCACTGAGCCCCATCCCCAGCCCTATGTTGTATTTTATTTAGAGACAGGGTCTCATTGAGTTGCTTAGTGCCTTACTTTTGCTGAGGCTGGCTTGGAACTCATGATCCTCCTGCCTCAGCCTCCCGACCTGCTGGGATCACAGGTGTGCACCACCTCGCCCAGCTACCTTGATTCCTTTCAGAAGGAAGGGATAGTTAGATGCCACACTCCGGGCACTGGTGTGCTACTTGTTCCAGGATGGCTATCGTATCTAGACTCTGTTCATGGTCAGCTAGAAGGAAATGCATTTTTTTTTTTTAGGATAAAATGCATACTGATACTTCCTATTCAATTTCGGGACTACAAGCTTTTTAATAATCTCACTGGTCTTTTAATAATCTCATAACTCTTTTCTCCATACTGAAAATTCAATTCCTGCACCAGCAGCGTCATTACCCACCTACTTCACCCCACCAGCACACACGGCAGTCTCAGAATAGTAATAGGAACAGGTTGAAGACTGAAAATAGTTGGAGAATCTGCAGTCCTTTTGCTCTCAGGGTCTGTCCCGAGAGGGATGCGCTTCACATGTTTTTGAAGCAGTTTCCCTGGGTATGATTTTGCTACAGCTCCATACCCTATTAGGTTCATTGAATTCATTTTGTTTTCGATTTTGGGGGATTGATTTTTTTTAATTTAATTTGGTGCCATAATTATATACAATATTTACACGGCTCTAAAATCAAATCTACAAAGCCAATGCCGAGAGCGCCGTCCTCCGCCCCGGCCCTCTCTCCCCAGAGGCTGGAGTGTTCTGGTTTGTTTGGTTTGGTTTTTCCTTTTGCTTATGTTTAAAGCGGAAGTGTGCATACATATCAACGTGTGCCCCCTCCTTCCTGGGTAAGTGACAGTGTGCTCTCCACACCCTCTCCATCTTGTGTTTTAACATGATTGTCATCTACAATGCCCCTGAGGTCCCTCCACAGCAGCATACGGATGCCCGTCTCCCCCGGTGCCCCACCTACCCTATCGTGACCTTAGGTAACCAGACCCCTACTTTGGGCCGTTGCTACTTGATCCACGTGGTTGGCTTGATGCATACGGCTCTTTCTATTTTCATGGCATAGCTTTGACATG